TGTTTTCAAATGACATTCATGTTGCTTTACAGATGCAGTATTTACTAGATCTCTTGTTTAAAGTAGTGAAGGGAATACATTCTTGGTAGATTCAAGTGATTTCATCCCTGACTTCATAATTGTATGGATTTGAAAGAACTGAAGCTAATCTTGAAGTAGCACAAGACAGTGAAGTTATACAAACTAAGCACTTTCACATTAAATATTTTGACATTAGAGACAGCATTTTCATAGGTTTTGACTTATCAAAGTTAAGCTGAGATCATACAACCTGAATGTAATAGTAAAAAATAAATTGGTTTGTCTTCTCTTCTCCCCCACTTTTTTCCTTTGTCTGTCTAGACTGTAAAATCTGTGGGATAGGGACTTGTCTTGCATGTCTGTGAAGCATTTAGTACATTAGAACAGAATTTCAGTCTAAATGTTGTTTAAAATTTATATAATCATAGAAATGCAGGGCTTGTAAGGGACCTCGAGGTCATCTAGTCCAGCCCTTTGTGCTTAGACAGGACCAAGTATTCTTTCCTGGACCTTTCCTGACAAGTATTGTCTAACCTATTCTTAAAAACCTCTAATGACAGGGATTCCAAAACATCTCTTGAAACCTATCCCAGTGCTTTACTATCCTTATAGTTAAGTTTTTCCTAAAATCTAACCTGTCCCCCTTGCTGCAGATTAAGCTGATTACTTCTTGTCCTACCTTCAGTGGATATAGAGAATAATTGTTGTCTTCTTTATAATAGCCCTGAGTATATTTGAACATTATCAGGTCCCCCTATAGTCGTCTTTTCTCAAGGCTAAACATGCTCAATTTTTGTAACCTTTCCTCACAGGTCAGATTTTCTAAACTTTTTATCATGTGTTGCTGTCCTCTGGACTCTCTTGAATTTGTCCACATCTTTCTTTAAGTGAGGCGCCCAGAATGGGTGCAGTACTCAGCCTGAGGCCTCACCTGTGCCAAGTAGCACAGAAGAGTTACCTCCTGTGTCTTACATACGGGTGTGTATTACTTACTTACATAAATACTGATCAGTGCTTAAAATCCCAAAACATAGGGCACAGTCTTTTTATTCAACAGAATGTTACTGGTTAATTGTGAGGGGCTAGTTTAAGGATAACCCAAACTACACAAACTAACAGGAAGTGATCTTAGAAGGACAGGGATTTCTTATTGTGCCTTTACAGAGATAGGACAAACTTATTTATCCACAAATTTAACTTCCAGATCCTGGAATTTTGGGGAGTGGCTCTGGGCATTCCAGGATGCAGGATTCCAACATTTTCACTGAATATAACCCCCTTCCCCCCAACCCATTAGACTACTGCCGCTTTAATGTAATTGGTGTAAACTGTGCCACAAACATGCAAAGGAAAATTGACAACTGTTACAAACCAAATGCATAACTACTTGTTTAGCATAAGTAGTTAGAATATGTGCTAAGTGACCATTCAAGGCAGAGTGGCCCCTTAACGCATATGCAGTCATGGGAAGAAAAGAGGGAGGGTTAGTGGATTACAGATTGTAGTAATAAACCATAAATCCAGTGTCTGTCTACTTATGCTAAACAATTTGTTCCACCTGGCATTTAGCTGTGACACTTAGAGTATCTTTCCCAGACTGGAAGAAGAGCTCAGCGTGTCTCTAAAGCTTGTCTCTCTCACCAACAGAAATTGATCCAATAAAAGATATTACCTCACCCATCTTGTGTGTCTCATATCCTAGAACTGACACAGCTAAAATTATGCTGCATTAGCACTAATAAGCTTTATACTGCCAAGGCAGAAGAGATTTTATCTGTTCATGTTAAAGATATGAATCTTGTTTGTATCTGAAAGAATCCTCCAAACCACCTGATAGAAACTCGTCTTTTGTTCAGCCGCATTGTGACTGTAAGGATTTTTTGTTTTTTGAGCATTAGTATGGTGGTGAATATTTCTGTTGCTAGCTTTGGTTAATATTTTAAATAACTACTTTTTTTGTAGAGTAGAGGGACTCTCTCACAACATAATAGGCTGGATTTTTTTTCACTGTACAGAATGTTATGTTTTCTGTAAGCCTTTATGTATGTTGATTTTTTTGTGTTCCATTCATGTAATTAACAAATAGTGTTCTAAATGTCACTGCTCAATCATAGAGACAAAGGTGGACCAACTCTTTACTTTACCCACCTTGTCTCTCTAATATCGTGGGACCAACACTGCATGCAACTGTTCAATCATATTGCTTTTTGTTGTATACCGTTCTTGTATGTTGCTCATATAGATTGCTAGCTCTTCATGTCAGAGACCTTGTCTTCCTGTCTCTAAAGGACCTAGTATGTTCCTTCTGTTGTGAAAATGTGTCTAAAACTTACAGATCTATGCAGTCCCATTAAGTGTATGGAAACTCATCTTCTTGCTGGCATCTTCTCTATACGTGTTGGGATTGAGGTGTTGAATTCAGGTTGTTGAGAAATAAAAGCAGCATGAAATTCCTTTCCACTGTTTGGTGGCATGTGTGTTGGAAGATATCTGCTTAACAATTAATTCTGATGGTACCGTAAAGTTCAGCTTTCTCTCTTTCTTTTATATGCTGTGATTTAGTTATTTCAGAATTATTTAGATTTACATTGTGTGTCAGTTTGATCTTTAGACTTGCCTGCTTTTCCAAATCTTTGGAGTTCATTTTCAAACTGATATCTGTTCTGGGATGGAAGTAATGTTATCATTAGGGATAGCAGTAAAAATCTGATCTTTGAAGACCATATTATTGGGTGAGTTTGAATGACTTGGAAACATAATTTTAAAAAAGGTGCTGTTAGTAGATTAGTTCTATTATCTGTAGCTGTGGTCTTGTGAGAGAAGCAAGGGGGCAAGATTTGAGATGTAAAAAATGTTTACTAAGTAGAACAGGGAAGTTTTTAACATCTATTTTGGGGGGAGGGGAAGTAAGAATAATAATGTAGATCATACACTTAACTATCTAGATTTAATATTTTTGATATCTGTATAAAAGGGAATTAGTTTAATCCAGAGTGGATAAAAATAGATTAAAACATTTTTTATTTAAATTGGACTTTTAAATTTAAAATTAAATATAGTTTTTTTTTAATAAGCCTGTTTTCAGATTTGAAATTGACAATTTATGTTAAGGCCTAAGCTTATCTATTGAAATCATTTTTTTTTTGTATTTAATTTAAATATTAAGCAGTAATGTTTGCTGCCAGGTTTTAAAGAGAATCAAACCACTGAACTTGTTGAAGTCGCTGGATAAGCACCTGGTACCAGAATTTGTTGATGTGCTAAACCAGTGTTTGACAGCAATAGCCTTTTTCTGTAGGAGCAGAGAGAATATTCTCTTCATTTCAGCTTATTCAACTAGTTCAGTTCAGTGACTAGCTCATTAATACTTAAAGCCTGGTCTATACTGAGAAAATGAAGTTGGCTTAACTACGTTGCTCAGAGGAGTGAAAAATCCACCCCCCACCCCGACCGGCGTAAGCCGACCGAATGCCCAGTGTAGATGGTGTTAGATTGACGGAAGAATTCTTCAGTTGGCCTAGGTACTGCCTCTTGGGGAGGTGGAGTGCCTGTGCTGATGGGAGAACCCCTCCCATCTGCGTAGGTAGTGTCTACACTGAAGCGCTACAGCAGCGCTGCTGCAGCAGCATTTCAAGTGTAGATGAGCCCTAAGATACCAATTGGGAGTTTGAAAAAGCTGAAAAGCTCATTTTCCTCTTCCAATATATGAATGAAAACTAAGTATGAGAGGATGAGATATACTGTTTCTATAATTTGGAAGGACATGGTGAGACCAGAAACAATCAGTTCAATTCACTAACTGCAGATAATAATTCCTAGTTTAATAAATCAGTTGATTCTTAAATGCAAAACATGTTTTGATAACATTTTTTTTCTAGTGTGCGGCAAATTTTAAGGAATTTTATTTAATAATAATTAATAATAAAAAATTAAAATGCTGTTTTGAGCTCTTTTAATTGCATATATTGCAAGTAAAAATAGTCTAGTAATTAAGTGTATAATTTGCTACTTTCTAACATAATAATGTAAAAAATAAGAAATCAAAATTAATTGAAATTGAGCTGTATAATTAAATAAATGTATATAGGCACAGTGTATCCTCCTGGTTTAAAAAAAAAAAATAAGCCTCAGATTTAGTGTAAAGTCTGTTTGCAAATCAACATGTTTTTATAGTTACCAGCCAATGAGAATCAACTATTTTTCTTTAGGAAAAGAACTAACAAGTACAAATACAAAACATGATTAAAATCAAGGTTGTATGGTTGCTGATTTAGGTCATGATGACAATTGGTTATTTAAATGGTTTTCATTTAAATCACTCTATCCTGATTTCATCCCCTACAACAGCATTTTTCAACGCGTGGGTTGTGACCCCTCCTCGGGGTAGGCCTGAAGGACTAAACTGTGTGTGTGTGTGTGTGAAAGGGGGAGACCATGGACAGGCCTTTCCATTGTTTTTCAGTGTGTCAACCTTAATTCTCATGGTTTTGAAGGATACCTTGCAAACATGAATTGAATGTTATGTGAAAGAGTTGTCTGCCTGAATTTGCAAAGAGCCTGAAACAGTTAAGAATTCTGACCTCAATTCATTTCAATGAGTGTTAACTCAGATGCCAATGATGATATTTTAAATGTCAACATTAAATATTTCATTGTTCACCAAAGCATGTAGAGAAAAGAAAGGATGTGCCATGTAGTGAAGATCTACACAGTATAACTTGTAGTGATGGCAGGGTTGAAGTGAATGTGATTAATTTAGCTTTCTTGAAATGGAGAGCTCAGCTTTAATAAGTTTGGGAAATGCTACCTTACAGCTGCATCACTTGAAAAACAAACTCCACCTCAATTTTCAGAAAAGCTCTCAGTGATCTCTGCTACTTTAGATGAGCTGACAGATATTTGAAAGAACCAAGCCTCCAGTTTCACTGCTTGTCCTGCAGAAGCTTGTGTTTTTGAAACCATTATTTTCTTTGTTACAGCTGCACTCAAATGGCGATAGAGGCTTTGAGAATGTGGAACTGGGGATCATAGGAAAAAACAAGAAAATCCCAAGAAGGGTCATTCACTTCGCAAGTGGAGAAACCATGGAAGAATATAGCACAGATGAAGAAGATCCGGTGCAAGAAAAAAAAGACCTCTTGCCTTCTGTTGATCCTGTAGGTTTGTTACAGATAATTCTTTATTTCATTTGCCATTTACTGGAAAAGTGACAACCACTTTTTGCACTTGGAAGAAACAAAAATAATTATTGAATTCAAATCTGACTTCTATTTTATTTTAGCCAATTACAGTTAGGGATGTAAATAGGGTTTAAAAATAGTAACCATGTAACCTATTAAAATTCTATCGGTTAAACGGTTAACCGTTAAGGAGTTCACATAGGCGGGGAACTAGGGATGTGTGGGTGCTGTAGCACCCCCAGGTTTTGCACAGTGAGCAACTCCAGTATAATAAAAGGGAACAGTAGAGAACTTGGAAAAATAAAATAAAAAAATTGAGATGTTTCAGAAAATACCAAAAATATATTTTGAAGTATGTTGTTAGACTACATCAAGTTCAACATCTACATTTTAATTTAAACTTTCCATATTTTCCTGATCCCCACTAATTCATGTTGGGTTGGAAGGGTAGAACACTGTCTTTAATACTTTGTCTTGAATAAGTTCACTGTGGTGTCAGTAACCCAGGAAGTATAGGTACACAGGAGGAGATACTTGCTTGTCTCAATCCATTGGAGTGTGTGCTACTATGCTTTAGCCACTGAGTGATGGCACATTGGAGGAACTAACCAGCCAACCATACCACTGTGTCAATACACCCATCACATCTTTAAAGAACTCCGACTCCAATGAAGAGCTTTACTGGTGGGGCTCCCACAAGGAGTATCCTGGTTTTGGTATGGGTATTCTGCTTGTTTCTTCCTGAAAAAGTGTTGTTGCCATAGGGTTTGGTTAATTAGAGGGTAGCTGTGGGAAGGGGCTGTAGATCACATTTCTCTTTTCCATGGGCTTTGAGTTAAACTAGGTGGGAAAGAGAGAAATTGTGGGTATGAGAGAGGCCAGGTTGGAAAACTGGAACTTCAGCAAAAGGGAAGAGGGTATGTGGGGAACAGAAATTGGGACAAACGCAAATTACAAGGGAAACTGTGGAGTTAATCCATAATGGATTTGTAGCTTTGAACTCTGTTATTGGGCTGAAGCTTGTCTTCATTTGGGAAAGAGGAACATGAATATTGGCTGGAGTGGACAAAGGATGGGATAAGGAACAAAAACATGTAAAGCGTGCAACTTACTAAAAATGACAGTATATTAAGTAAAAGTGCTTTATTAAAGGGCAGTTCTTAGGCTTGCTCATATCCTGTTTGTTTAGGGAATCTGTGGGGAGCGCAGCATGAGTCACTCAGTACTGGCTAAGGAGGTCACAGATTTATGCCTGTATTCAAGTATTATTCTGAGTCAAAGTTATCCCCAACCACTCAGAATCTATCCTGGTCTTTCCCAATGCAAATCTCTCATTTAAATGTTCCCAACTATCCGCAATCAGCAGGAGGCCAGGCCAGGATGAATGATGGGACATTGTATGCAAGGCTAGGAGTACAGGTGAACTGCCTTCTCCTACATAAAGTACAAAAAGATTGTTTCCTTTTCAGTCCACTCCAGAAAGCCACTTCTTAGCGCATGATCCAAAGCCCACTGAAGTCAGTGAAAAGAGTCCCATGGAATTTAATGGGCTTTGGATAAGGCCTTTAAGAAAAGTACGTGGCCAGTACTTGTATTCCTTTGAATAGCACTCTCCCATCTGTACTGTGTTGAGGGAAGGCACTGGAGAGCCAGCTGTAGTGAGGGTACAGGCTATGTCTACACTAGAAACTTCAAAGCGCTGTCGCGGTAGCTCTCATGGCAGCGCTTTGAAGTGAGAGTGTGGTCACGCGTGAGCGCTGGGAGAGCGCTCTGGTAATCCACCTCCACGAGGGGAACAGCTCCGAGTGCTGGGAGCGCAGTTTCTAGTGCTCGGAGCCTGTCCACACTCGCGCTTTAAAGCACTCAAACTTGCTGCGCTTGGGGGTGATTTTCACACCCTTGAGCCAGCAAGTTAGAGCGTTATAAAATGTAAGCGTAGACAAGCCCAGAGACACACCACTCTACAAACTGACGTGTTCAAAGTACATTCAGAGATGCATGGTAGATGAAAATAGTGTGAAGAGTTCCTTTTCTTGCTTCCTGGTTACAGATTTGTATACACTAAGGAACATGAAGTGTGCCAAAGTTGAGATTGGTTCTCTCCCCCCCCCCCCCCCCCCAAATTACTATGTTATCCTTAGTTTTTTATTAACTTTTTTAATTAAAAGAATTCTGTGGCTTGTGGAGCACTGTTTGTTTTCACTCCTTTTTTTCTTTTATGAAAGAAGCTTCATTTTAACAACTTCAATAAAGGTAAACTCGACGAAGGGTTGCTATTATCTGAGGTATGTTTTCTGTATCCCAAATGAGTTGAGGACATACTAGTCCAAGCTGAGCTGTGATGTTTTTGCAAACAGCTGCTTTAAAAATGTTTTGTAGGATTTCTATACACACAAATAAATAGTCAGTTTGCTGGGACCAGCATGTCTACAACTCATTATCCCAGTTGGGGTACTAAAAACTATGTTGCAAATAATAGCAGCTTCTGGTCCAATTTACCTTATAGAACATTTAGTACTTTGGAAATTCTGCATCATAAAATTTTGGAGCCCAGCTGGTGTTGGCATCTTTACAGCTCCTCTACTGAGTTGTATACTTTCTCTGCAATATAAAAAAACACTTTTTTTATATTGCAGAGAAAGTATAATTAAGCCAAAACACTTACTGAATGTTTTAGAACTAAACTGAAAATGACCACTTTCCCTTAGCTGACAAGCTTTAAGCTTAGATTTTCAAAGATTATCTGAAGAAATAGCCAAGTCCGAGGAAAGAAACTGTATCAACCCAGTCTCTCTAATTACCCCTTCCTACTCAAAACCCAGAACCAGTACTCCACTCTCATCCTCCTTGACTTACCAGCCACCTTTGACACCATCTCCCATCCTCTTTTCCTTGAAATATTGTCTTCCCTTGACTTCTCTGACTCTGTTTTCTCTGGGTTCTTCTACCTCTCTAATTGCTCCTTCAGCTTCTTGTTTCCAGAGGATCCTCCTAATTTCCCCCCTCCAACTTTGTGTGGTCCACAGGGCTCTCTCCTTGGTTCCCTTTTCTACTCTCTACACCTTATCTCTAGGTAATTTCATGAGTAAATTCAACTGCCACCTCTATGCTGATGACTTCCAGGCCTGCCACCTTCTGTCCTAACTAAAATCTCTGCCTGTCTCTGGCTTCTCTTCAATGATGTCTAATCATAAGGTCATGCTTAACATGGCTAAACCAGAGCTCTGAGTCTTCCCTCAAGCCCTCCCTGCTACTTTCTTTCTCGATCACTGTGGACTTGCACCTCTCTAGGTCCTCATATCCAGAGTGTCTAAATCTTGCTGTTTTTTTTTTCTGTGTATCATCTGTAAGATACATGGCATGTTCTATCCATCTACACAGCTAAAACTCTTATCCACGCTCACATCTTGTTTTACTACATTGTCCTTTTCTCTGGACTTGACAAATGCAATCTTGCTCTACCCATTCTGAATGCTTCTGCAAAGATCATTGTCCTAACCCATTGCTTTGACCATGATGCCTCTGTTTTGTATCCCTCCACTGGCTTTCCCTTCTCTATGCATCAAACATAAGCTGGCTTGTTTTTATTTTCAGGGCCCTTTGTGACGTTTCCCATCCTACCTGTTAACTCTCATTCACTGTCAAAATGTCAGCTCTCGCCTCCAATTGGCTCATGATGCTAGCCTCCATCACCCATTTGTTAAATTTTCAAACAAGCACCTTTGTTCATTCTCTCATGCTGCTGCTTATGCTTGGAAGGAGCTCCCCATAGAATCTTCAAAACTACCTCATTATTCTCCTCCAAAAATGTCCTTAATTTTTTTTGTTTCATATAAAAAGACTTAAGTGGTTAGGCTGCTGATGAGCTCAGGCCACGGTCTATCATACTGACTAATATTGTTTCCTTGTACTTCCTCATCTGTTTGCCTGTCTCTTGTTTGTAGCTTGATTACAAGTTGCTTAGAGCTGGGACATTCTTTTTGTTCTGTGTTTGTACAGCGCCTAGCAGAGTGGGGTCCTAGTCCATCATTAGGGTTCCCAGGCTCTACTACAATACGAATAGTAAATAAATCTGTGTCGGTCAGACAATAAAGTAAAAGCAAAGCCAAGGCCATGCATTGAGTGCACGAGGAAGTCAAAAATAAACTACCCCAAAATAATCATTGGTCTTAAAGATTTTTCAGCTCATGGAAGGAGGGAGTGGGGTGGGGAACCTACACTGTCTAAGTCCTTTACCATAATCTTCAAGGAGTTTGTTTAACTAAAACATTTTACGTTCTAAGCCAAGTAACACTGAAATTCTCTTGGAACGTATCAACAAAAATACAATACACTCCCCATCCTTACACTAGATTTGTTGGTCTTATTGTCATGACAGGTAGTTTGCTGCCATGTTGTCTCTCCAAAATAATCTGAATGTGTGGGGTTTCTTTTTTAAAAAAAAATAGGTGGGTCCACAATGTGTAGAACTCTTATTAAATGTCCTTTTGAGTCTTTTAGTTACTAGGGCTAATATTTCTTCAAGTGAGTGAGCTTCCTTACTACAATTCAACTTCCTTAGGAATAGAACTGTATACTACTACAGCTGAATATTCCTTGAGATGTTTGTAAATTTTAATTTTAGTTGCATCTTCCTTCTCTGTGTGAATTTAGATAGAGAGGGTATGTGTGTGTATTTAATAGAAATGAAACAAGATTTGCAACATTAATCACTCATTGCATCTTCTAATGCAAATCTGATAAATTCTATTAGAAGAACGAAGTACTTTTCCACCCCCATTCTCTCAGTCAAAGCACTGAGATTTCTTTGAGCATAGGGGATTGGAATGCACTGTCTCAATGCTTGTTAATAAGTCTTATTTTAAGTGCCATTTTTTCTAGTATTATTCAATACGTTTAAAGCTACTTCAGTTAGAGTAAGACTTTTATATAGAGAGAGCTATTCTGTGGTAATTCTGTTCATCTGACTCTGGAAG